TTTTATAAAAAAGGCTATGTGATAATCACAAGAAAAAATCAAATAAACGGTTTATCGGTCACAGCCGTCAATAGATATCTTATGGCTGAATTTAAATACAGTACATCAGTTCAGTATTAAAATGTATTTAAATATAAAAGTTATTATGTGTTACGGGGTTTTTAGAGTACCTACTGTATATAGATTACTATATGGGCACTCATCATTCTGATCTACATTCTGATCTTCCGACAAAGGAAAGCTGTGACATGGACATACTAGGCCACAAACCCTTTCAGTTAGAAGTACAAATGGACGGAACCAGTGTACTGTATAAGATGCCCTTATATAGTAATGAAATTGCATACTAAGGTCTAGGTCGCTGTACATAAGAACATCAATATACTGTATCAGAGGTTCAGCCAGCTCTGTGCTGTCTACTCTCTCTACTTCCGATGATGAATCACATCGATGTGAGTGGGCACCATCTTGCACAGATCAAACGCCCAGCGCTTCAGGCCTTCCTCTTGAAAGAAAGAAACTTATCAGGAAATGTAGGTTCAAGGGACCGAATTAAAAAGCCAAAGGGAGGTATAGTTTTATGATTTGTTGTATCCACCAGGCAAAAGAAACCTATCTGTAGTACAGTATTTCAGACCATTCATTGGGCATAAGGAGAATGATTCCCACCAGGTTAGTATCTGCGTAGACAATGGTTTTGAAGGGTTTAAGTGAGGGTCATGAGTAGGAGTTTTTATTGTATAACAACTACTTTGCCTTTATTCTTATTACTTATTTAATCTCTCTTTCTGATACTATTGGGTTTTTTATCATGGCAATATCCGGGTTACTGAGATTTGGTTCTGTAAAAAACTGGATTTTTATAGACATATACTGTAAATGTTGTAAATTATAATCAGTGTACAATAAACCCTCAGTTTAACAAACTTACCTTTAAGATAGTTCCAATTTAACAGACAAATTCTGCTAAATCCTTTTAGAAAATACACAAAAGTACTGAAAATATGTAAAAAAGCACTGTAAAATTCACAAGTAATAGAACATGGTAAAACAAGTACTAAATACAAATTCATACATAAAAATTCAGAAATATCAATTGTGCCAATAGAAGGTCAATTGTTATGGGTGTTGTTTGTGTTTCATTTGCTTTAACAAATTTTATACACTATATTTGTGACATGAAATAAAGTTCTTGTGTATTTATGATAAAAAAGCACAGGAACAATTTTCACTATGTTGAAACTGATCCACAAAGAATATATACAGTATTTATAAATCATTTTTTCTCACATATTTCTGTTTATTGTCTGAAAAACATTCATCATTTAAAAGACATTCAGCAATAACAGACACCCTTTCACCCTATTAGTCTGTTGAATCAAGGGTTTATTATATTATGTTCTTTTAGTTTTTGTTAATCTGTTCTCTTTACTCTTCATTTATTAGTATATGGACTTATTAGAGAAGACCATTTTCATTTATTGTAGTTTTTTAAATACTAAAATATCAATCAAATTGTCAATCCATTATATTATTGCTCAAACCAATTGAAGAAAATGTATGTAAGATCCTAAAGCCTTGAGAAAAATGCTAGTTTTTTAATTTATTATTTAAAAAGCTAATATTTTTTTCAATCCACTACATATTTAATATAACTGTAACAGTAGTATCAACTCATATAATGACAACAAAAATGTATTTGTTAACTAATGCAGTATTGTATTGACATGCTTTCAAGTTCCTTAATGCAAATTCTCTATACAGTATGTGAAATGACAATACAATAGAGGTACACTGACTGTACGTATAGGAGTACAGGTCCTTCAAGAACAGTAAAATACACATTAGCAAAAAATGGTCTCAGTACATATCTAGCTGCTTCACCTTTTCTCTTTTGTATCCTATCCTTAACAAAGTTTTACAAAATGCCACATGCACATTGAGACATCTGAATTCCTGATTTTTATTTCTTTATCAGTGATTGCCTGATTATTTATTAGGGTTAAGCTGTTGTGTTCTCCCTAGTACACAAGCGAACCAATATCAAGATTTTGTAATTTCATAATTTACACCTGCCCAGAATAAAAAGTTGTTATGTTTTTTTTTACCATTCCCAATATATGGTAGGTTAATAATTATTTCAAATCCACTTGTACAAAATCATCTTATCTTACAACTTGTGGTACAGTATGTGCAAATATGATTGCTTAACCTAATTCTTTTTGTTCTTACATGTATTTAAACA